AGCGTCTTATTTTTAATATTTTATCTACATATACCTAATTCAAAAAGTCGATGGCATGATAGATTTTGAAAGGTTTAAATATATATATATTATATATTTAATCTTGAATATATTAACTAAATATGAATTTGAAGGATACCTATGCCTAGAGATAAATCCTTTTTACAGTAGTACATAGGTATTTGATCTCATTTACCGACAATTTTGACAATAGCCATCGACTTTACGAAACTACCAAATACTATTAATAGTGCCACCGTGCTAAAGGCATCTAAATCACATGTCTAATAAGGCTAAGCCCCGATAAAAGTGAAAAAAATACATAGGTACTTACGAGATATGCACAATTTCACAACAAATAGGTAATTCAACCTCGGAGTAAATTTTAGTGAATATGTATAGGGAAGAAATGTAAAATAAATTAGTAGCCAATTTTTGAATGATTTGAAATATTGTTTATTATGATTTCATTGATATTATTTCCCAGCAATTTTCATACATTCAACCTTATTTTCCAAGTATTTTCTTATTGTCTATGCGGTATAAATTTATAAATTAGACTTTGTACTCTATTCTAATATGTCTTAAGTTTATATGTTGAAATTATTTACTGAGTTTTGCGTCGAATATAACATTCTTAATGGGAGTAGCAAAATTTCTACTTATATGTAAAATTTTGCGTGGTAAGAAGTGGATATTTAATAAAAATAATTTTCTAAATATTTTCTTAATGTCATCGACTGTCCTTTGTCTTTAAGTACACATAGTCCTCGGTGTAGTGATGTGCAATTGTGTCATTATGTCGAAATAACTAAGCCAATTTCAGCCACTCATTACATTGAAGGTAAGGTAAGTACGTAATAATCGAAAAGTGCTACAGAGCTAAAATAAAATTGTGCTGTGCTAGGAACGGATTAAGATTTTCACTTTGAGCAATAACATCTTTCATGCGTCGAGCGAAATTTCTAAGGACCAGCCCTCTTACACAATTTCAAACGACATTGCCACACACAATATAAGTACTTAGTTACATTTGTACATATTTTTTATCAATCTGTTCTCTTATAGCTAGTGGGAACCAGTGCTGATGCGATAGCGATTATCCATTACGTAGTATTGCCATACTATTAGGACTTAGGGATTTAATAAAATTATATTTTTTTAATTAAAACTGTCGATAATAGTTTAATAATAGGTATACTTTTTAATTCTATAGCTTAGGAAAAATATCTAATCATAACCACAGTTTTTTATGTTTATATGGATATAAGAAACATACATTTACCTAGTGGTTGAATTATCGTAACTTTCCTGTTATAATTGATGATTATAGATACAGACAGCAATAATAACAAAAATATGGTATTTGATCTTTCACCTAACCTGACTTATTTGATTTATTTCAACCTGATTTATTAACATATAAAGGCTTGAAATCGCTTGGAAAAATAAATAGATTCACAGATTCACTTTATCATCATCATTAGCCATTTTACGTCCCCATTCCAGGGACTCAGGCCTTCCTTAAGGATGGTTAAGTAGAATAGGCCATGACCCTCCATGCTGGACCAATGCTAATTGGAGGATATTAACGACTGCAAATGTAGTCGGGTCTAATGGCTCAACGTGCCTTCTAAAGCACGGAGTAGCTCGAGATAATAAATTTTTGGTCACCCATCCCGTGACTGACCTTTGCGAAAGTTGCTTAACAACAACGATCGTGGTCTACGACACTACTCTATTATCCCACCGAGCCACTCCGAGATTCACATAATTATATGTAATTTTCGTAAGTTCCTATATTCAAGCACACACATCAATTCTGTAATCAATCAATTAGTAGATCAATAACACTATATAATCGATATTCGTAGGGCAATTTAATGGTTATAATAATAGACGTTGCTTTACACTATCGATACTTTAAAAAATATCGATATCGCAACAACACTAGTGGAAACAGGTACAGTCGTTGTGATAATTAGAATATAAAGTTAAGATAGCTAGAGAGATATACTTACCTATAAGAAAGAGAAGGAATATAGCTAACTATTTAGTTTTAGATTTTTGAATTGATCGATATATTTTTCAGTTTTGAAACGCGACTCATTCGTTTATTATTTCTATGTCTTTTAATTTCAAAAAATTATATGCTATAGATAGAACATTAGAGAACAATGCTACTTATAATTATTACGAAATTTGAAGCTACGCTTATAAGCTTAAGTATTGAAAGTAGAAATTCTATACGATTCTGTACCAGCCAGATCACGTTCTAGGACTAGTTTCAATGAGATAATATTATCTAAATACTTATTTATATTTACTCCCATAATAATTTATGCATACCATTGATTTAATAAGAGAAACAGATCGAAGAAACTGTGTCACTATTATCAACGGCTCAATTACGTTAAATATAAATATGGCTTTAATTATTATTGCTGTTGTATTACCATAAATTACATTTAGCAATTGATTTTGATTCAGTCTAATCATAAGGTTGAAAATCAAATGGAGGAATTTAAAAAATATGCATTAACAATAATAAAGTAATAAAACAATATTCTTGGAATTAATGGATTTGTGTTAAGAACCAGTATCTTCTAACGCCAATTTCAATCATATATCTTTCATTACGTCACGTAATATAATCACTGTTCAATTAACAAGAAATCAAATTCGATCAAATACTTAAAAAGCACAGTTCCTTCGTTGTGTATTCATCTAAATTAATTTATTATATAATAAGACATTTCTTGGTTACAACGATAACTTCCCTATTAAAATTACACATTTTTAATTTAAAAATATGTATATAAAATGAACGCTTTTGTTACTTAACATATTTATTTATTATAAAAAATTGATTTTATGACCAAAATTGTTATTTTTCTCAGTGTCTATTATAGGTATATGCGAGTGCGTCTGTGTGGCGTTTGGATTCCGGCGGCGCTCTAAGCGAGCCCCCGGGCCACCCGGCCCTAAAGCCAGCACTGGCCACCAATCATGCTTTTAATAATTAACACGATAACTATTTAATAATATTATTCGACACAAAATTTTACAACTTAGTGTAACTAAGAGTGCACATAATGGCGAAAAGAAAATGAGATGCAATAATAATAATCAGTAATATAGATATTCATCAAGTTTCACTATTAAAACAGTATTTAGTTATAATTAAATGCGAGTTACTATTAAAAAAAAGAACCATATAAGTATTTGTTTTATGCACCTTCCTAATATAAAATAACAGTAGATTCGCCTAACTAGGAGGCAGTATAAAAATATTAATAGGTCAATATTTATCAACAATACTCAGATACTAAAAGAACGGCCTTTCGGTTGAAAAAAAACGATTTTTTTTTCAAGAACGGTTGAAAAAAATTGACAAAAACAAGATTAAAAATGTTAAGAATGGATATAACATTTTCCCTAATTCACGTAATTTTATTCAACAAAACAATTAAGGACACTTAATTAAAATTATAAAAAAAAACAAAGAAACACAGAAATTACGATTTTATCGTCAATCATTATATTTATTTTTATGCTAAAGTCGATGATGTCGCTGTACAAATTAAGTACCACGTTTCGAGACTCATAATTAGAATAACACGCATATGTAAAAAAGAACCATTAAATTCATAACATACTTGGATACCTATCTATAATGTGTCACATATAAAATGGGTATAACAAAATTTAATAATAATTTTTCCCCCACTCACCTCTCGTAAATCTGTTACAATATTCATAAATTTTCATTTACCAATATAATTTTAGACGTTGCAAAATACTTTTCTTTATTAAACTCTGAATGATGTGAACATTATTTAGATGTTAAAATTTTAAATTCTATTAGCAGCGTTTCGAAAACAGCAACGCCAGTAGCTTATGAGCTATGACTAAACATCATCCAGGTTAATTTAAATCCCAGATGAGATAACGCGGGTAAACTTCAACCAGAGTTGATATAACATCCGGGTAAGTTTTAACTCTAATTGAGACAACATCGGGGTAAGTTTTAACCCGAGTTGAGACTATCCGAATGAAATAGAAGTGAGTAATTTTTAAGCGAGATGGAATCTAGCAATACTTGGACGCTGCTAAGTGGCTGGTCGTGAAGATGGGCGGATTCCGGACACTCGTGTTCGTGCATCCTGCTACGAACATCGCTGTACTGGGCGCGATCTGTAATTTGACATTCGAAAATTTGTAAAGTTGAACAACACTATATGCCAGGCCCGGATCTACATTTTTTTAACCAGGATAGAAACGTCGTATGGCGCCCTTCCTTTAATCCCACATGTAAGCATGTCCGCCTTATCGTAGCCTATAATGTGTATTAAGAGATTTGTAAAGCTTATTCTTTTTATAACTGTAAACCGGTATTATATAATGATGATTTTGACACCCCTCTAACACTAGCGCCCGGGCCAAGTGCCCCCACTTTCTCCTACCTAGATTCGGGCCTGCTATTTGCAAATGAGCAAAAAATTCAAATCCTAATTTGGCGATTTAAATACATTTTGTTTTGTTTGTTTCTTTTTTATCATTCACATCCACAATGTACCAGTAAGGTCAGAAGAATGTAATGCACTCGAGTAAAAACAGTGGGTCCTTGATTAGGTGACAGTGAAAAATCAAAACAGTGAAAAGGAAAACAAAACCTTGTGTGCACTGTGTCTGTCGTGAGGTGTGAGACAAGTGTTGATGAGGTTGATTACATGGATTCAGGGTTCCACTTCACCGTCGGTATTACCCATGCACAGCTAGCCCTATGCAACAAAATATTAGATGCAATAAAAAAATAATAAAAATATATAGGATACATAAAACGAATTAATTAAAAAAAACCGTGTTATAGCACTGTCAACTTAATTTATTTATGTGTCTATTTTATTTTTTAATATTTCAATGATTTCTTTTTTCAAATGATGATTGAATATAAAATGACGAGAAATGAAAATGAAAAGATGACGGCCTCATTCGGTTCAGCTGTCAATAGATGGTGGTTGATTTTTTTTTTTTCTTTTAATATATAAATAACTGTAAGAGCATACGGATATTGAAAATTTTAAACTATTCATAATTTGTCAAAAAAAACAACTATTTATAACTATGGCGTTATCTATTGATAGCAAAAAGGAATGAAGCTGTGATGATTAACAAATATTTTCTGCACACCTGTGTGGACCTCTGTGCGGTGATCCGGGCGGGGATGAAGCTGGGGATAGAGCGGGCGTAGCTGGAGCAGACGCGGCGCGCCTCCGTGAGTACTCCGTCCCGCCCACGGCCATCGCACTCCCTCCACCCACGGGATCCGTCATCCGGGTCACGCTCAAACCGGACGCCGACCGGATCGGACGGGCTGAGCCTGACAAGGGTAGATTTTACTAGGGTGATCATTTGCATACCTACCAATTAGGGCAAAGCTCGATTTTGAAAATTTCGTTACATTCATATTGACGGAAAATCTCTACTATATTGTCTCGGGTCCGGGTGTTGTGATACCTTCGTTTTCTCAAATTTCCATAGTACAAAAGTAAGTAATGCAAGCCGCTGACGGAAGCTTGTTTATTTCCATAATGTGGTTGAAATATATTAAATATTTTTTAAGATTTCAGAACATCCACATTATTGTTTGTTTTATAAGTGCCAATTAATAAAATTTACCTTTCCTTTTTTGCAAAATACTAGACTGCTCAATAAAATATCTTTTATAATAAAATATCTTCAAAAAGAAAGTTTAGTGGAATCTCACCTTTAACAAAAAATATTCTCGCTTCGATTTTATGACAAATGGCTCAAATGGGTCTTTTAGATCTCACAATTTATTGTGGCCGATTTCTGACCATTTATTATATAAAAGGTCATGAATGAATACATGAGTTTAATACAGGGGCTCCCTATCGCCTAACTTTATAGCTCTCATTGCAATAATAATAATCTTAATTTGACCATAAAGTAGAGATATAGAAAGCTTATTAAATTTTCTATTTAACAATTATAAGTCCTACACCTTGTTTAACATCATCCATCACCGAGCTAGGAACATCGGTTTCAGGCGGCTCTAACATCAAATTGTAACTGCTATCTACTACGTAGCTCGGTGGCGTAGTGGATAAGCGCCGCGGCCCGCGATCGTAGTCGTTAAGCAACTTTCGCAAGGGTCGGTCACGGGATGGGTGACCAAAAAAATTATTATCCGTGCTTCGGAAGGCACGTTAAGCCGTTGGTCCCGGCTGCATTTGCAGTAGTCAATACCCTCCAATCCGCATTGGGCCAGCGTGGAGGGTCATGGCCCATCCTCCTGAACCATCCATAAGGAAGGCCTGAGCCCCTGCAGTGGGGACGTAAAAGGGCTGGTGGTGGTGGTGGTATCTACTACCACAGGCTTGAAGATCTGTACACCGCTATTACCATTGAAAGATTAATTAATAAAAACCATTGATTAATGCAGTTAATTGTTGTATCGTTACAACTGAAGAAGATTTTATGGTAGTGGTATTACTAAAACTAAAAAAAATAAAGTTATTTGTCCGACTGACTTGTTGGTTGTTAGGTTCTGGCAAACCATGCTTCTATTGATAGGGTAGCTAAGTCTCTACTACAATACTGAAAAAAGGCTTATTGTGTCGTCTCACCGCCAGTATAACTGTAGAGGCCGGCGGGCGAAGAGCGGGGCCTGTAACTGGAGACCGTGGAGGACGTGGAGAGTGTGGAGGGTGATCTTCTTAAACCGACGCCGACGCCGACGCCGTCACCAACGCTCGACGCGTTCGACGGCTTGCGCGCTCGCGGTTGGCGTTTCGAGCCCGTTCTGCATAAACCTAAAATATAAACAAGGGTTAATGAGTATGTTTCATAAGAACACATTAACGCCAAAGCAGTAGAAGTATTTTTAATGATATCTATACTCCTTGCTGACGCACATGGCTTCCCTATACATCTATAGGGAAGCCATGTGCGTCCAAACAACCAAATTGAATCGAGTAGGGAGGGAGAATGGGATATAAGACATATTATACCTGAATTTAATTGAAAACTGTAGCTTGTTCGTTATTAAATTGAAAAAAAAAACTTTTTAAATGTTAGTTATTAATTGTACGAATAAATATATATAGAATATTTTGTTGCAATAATCCATGTTTAACAAGTATTCACTCAGAAACACTTTGTCAAGGTGCCTACGAATAAGCGACTGATGTCAGAATAATATTTCCGTCAAAAAAGTATGAGTAATGACTGTCATGCCGCTAGTATGTTGGAGTTGGTATGTAAATGAAGTTAATATGCTATGTCATGTCATCATGGAGCTTATCGACGACCGGCACTGTAATGTGCGAAGCTATTAAACGAGTTTCCTTGTGAATAACACTCAATGTATAATCAGTTTTTGTTATTAAATTTTAGGTACATTTTTAGAATCAAGCGTGTTTTTAGGGTTGCGCACCCAAAGGGTCAATCGGGAACCCTATTACTATGTAACTCATGAACCATGAACCTGTAACCAGGCTGTATCTCGTGAACCGTAAAAGTTAGACAGTTTAAATTTTCACAGATGATGTATTCATGTTGCCGCTTCAATAACGAAAATACAAAACTAGGAACCATAATTAAATAAATATTTGAGGGGGCGGCCTTACAACAAACGTGATTTTTTTTGCTCTTTTCCGGTAATGGACCCTTCGTGGGCTAATCCGACTCGCACTTGACAGGTTTATTTTAGATTTTTTGTTTCAATTCTTTATCATAATTATCATCATCATAATAAAAGTCACCCTAAACGATAGTGTTCCCTTTAAGTTAGGTAGATAGTTATAATCAATTTATTTTATTTAATATTTAGGTACATATTAAGAATATCTATTTAGAGTGCAAATAAATACTTTGCCTAGGATCTTCATGGAATAGTGTTAACATTAAACCTTCCTTATTTTTAGAGCGCAATGTTACCGTTTTCAAATACTTAACAACTATTTTCTGATATAAGAAACAGAGTGTCTACGAAATTATCTGTCAGAATCTTTATCGAATCTGTAAAATTGGCGCCTAATGTTCCAAAATAATCCACAGACAAGCGAATCTATGCAATATATCATGTATTTAATTAAAAAAAAAACAGGCACAGCAAATTTACAATGCTAATGCACACAATTTAACACCAATTACTTATCTCTAAGAACGAATAGTATGATTGCAGAACAGGAATAATAATATTAGATAAAAATAATTTTATAAATAAATATTCATTATTATAGTTAGCCATATTCTTTTTATGTATTTATTTGCATATTATACTATGCGATGTTTCAATTCAAAAAAAATATATATACGGGAAGCAAATAGTCATAAAAAAAATCTAGATTATAAGAAGGTCCATTTCTAACGAAAACCAAACCAACGCGTGCGTCATGTACGGACTAAATTCAGAAGTCCTATATTTGTGTTGTAATAAAGTCCAAAGAAGACAATCACTAATAATTTAAAATAATTATATTATTAAAGCATTATTTATCATAAAATATAATACTTAGTAAATGTAAATATTAATATAATCAGCATAATAAGTACTATTATTAATTAATTTGCATTCACAATTATTACTATATAAGTACTGCAGGCCATTTCTTCTATAATGTTTACGTACTCGTAATAATCGCATCTCCATAGAATCTGAACTACTTAAAAATTACCATTGTTCTAGATAGTACTATATACTAGGTAGATACCTAGTGTTGCCAAACGTTCCGTATTTCACGGAAAGTCCCGTATTCATTATTTATTATGTTCATTAAAAATCCAACTGAAACATGCGCGTTTATCTGAAAAAAATATAAAAAGTGAGTAATTTGGTTTTTTATTTCTTGGATAAAAAAAAATTGAAATCATTTAATTTTTGCATATTTAAGCATTTGTCTCTTACAGGCTGAAAAAAATCTGGCAACCCTATATCTACCCAAAGGTCAATAATTATATATCCGTCACCATTGATGTATGATGAAGACATTGCACTAATAATAATAATAATAATATTGGACTTTAGGTAGATGGTAAAATGGTAAGTGCAAGTCGTTCGGATTCTATTTAAGAAAAATAAGAGATTCTAGCAATTGGCCTGCTGTACGGATAAAGCTTATGGCATTGTGAATGGCGAATTTATTAAAACTTTATTAATTGGAACACATTTTCATCTCGGTCGTTAAATACTTAGAGATAGACTAATAAAATATTAAGAGATAGACTAAGAACACATGGATGAAAATACGCTCATTAGTAGTGAAAGTAACAAAGAATTCCAACTGTCTCGTGAGATTGTGATTCACACGACTGTAAAAAAGATATTATTTCTAACAGATGTGATGTGACCTTGCTTATTGCCAACCATCTGGGTCACGGATATAATTCAAATTTCGAATGGAAACTAAGCTCCTACTAACCTAAGTTCTTTGTTGTAACGATGGTTTGCAATCACAGATCATAGAAAAGAGGAATGTGTTCTTTGTTTACAACCTCGTGCAAAATGTGGGATTCAAACCTTTTGCGCGCTGTTGTAAACACAGTCTCGGTCACCAGAAACAGTTGAATTTTTTTAATATTATTTTCTATAAGATAAATAACAATATCAGCATATATATTTATATATAGTACATACCTACAAAGATGCCGTGTCGGTAGTTACTGGATGTCCTGTGATAATTCTGATGATATGTGCTACAAAATTGCTGCTTAAGCGATAAAGTTAAAATGGAAAAATAAAAAATGCAGCCAAATGTGACCCCATATTTTAAATTCATAATTATTGAAAGTCCAAGGTCCCTAAGAAAGATTAAAAATATGCCCTTTTTTAAGTTTACTATCCTGCGATCTATATTTTAAACCGTAATAAATGAATTGTATGTTTAGATGGAGCCCCTTTCTGAACCTTGATTGCTTTTTGCAATATGCCATAATTTTCTATTTTTCCAGTCAAATCTTCATGATAAAACAGAAAGTAATGTCCCCATAATTTTATTTACCGTTCGGTTCCTATTCGCCGTTTCTCTCGAGCACCTTCGGCAGTAGACTCACTCCCTGGCAAGAATCAATCATGCACTGCTTTCAATGCTACTCACGTCACATCGACAAAAGAATATTTACGGCACAGTGGATACGGCACCAAACGTAACACTCATTCTTTTTCTTTTGATATAAGCATTAAAGTTAATTTCTCGAGTCTGTTAGTTTCATTTAAGTGTAAAATAGTCAGTTAAATACGTTTTTGTTGATAAAAAATACATTTTAAAGTATAAATTATGAAGACACTGCGTGCGTTTAGCAATCGAACATTAGATGAGTAGTTTTGAATTTAGGTCTTAAATTAACATCAATAACTAAATTATAAATAAAAAGTGTAGTAGAATCACGTTTGCAAATAAACAACCTAACAGTTGTCATCCACGTAATTCTTAAGCAACGCAATAAATATAACAATTAATTTTATTATTCTATTTTACCATTTCAATTTAATAGAGAATAGGAAAGTTTTAATCTATCACTATACATACTTTATCTAGTTCCTGTAATCACCTTTTGTAAGCCTTCTTTGCAAATTAAGCGAGCAATTTTTCATGTACATTCAAATAAGAAAAAAGAGTACTTTCCGGGAAAAAGAAAACAGCAGACCTTACTGAGTTTCTTGCCGGTTTTTATCGGTACAAGGTCTCCCGTCGTTTACGAACCGATAGCATAGAGTTTCGACTTTCTCACAAGTGCTTGTAATTGCCTAGGCTGAATAAATGATTTGATTTGAATGAATACTTAGAGTTTTTTTAATGTATAATGTTACGTTTGCTACTTCCACGTATGTGGTCAATCAGTTACCAGTGGGGCATTGCCTGCCCATAGCACATTTCCCCTCACAAATGGTGCGTTCGCTGAGCATCGTTTGATATGAGTCCAACATCACTCTGCATTCTGAGAGGTCTCGGTCTGCTAATGCTAAGGATGGATACCTCTCCTTCAGTCTTCTTCTTTCCTGAAGAAGAATCATTACTATCAATATGGCTATTCTTCAATAAGAAAGAGTAGTTATGTTTACTGGTGAATTCTTTCTATTCGAAAGGCCTGTGACGTGACGATAGGGAGATGATGAAACAAAATTAAATCCAAGCGTGTACTTGTCCGAATTATCCGGTCCTTTAAATATCTTTAATAAAAATTGCTGTAAACATTGACGGCTCAAGGTATGTCTTTGATACCTAGTCTATGATTTTACTTTCGTCTCGTTTATATTTTATTTTCGGAAAATTTGTTTGTTTTCGTGCTGTCCTTGCTTAAGAAGTGTGTTTATTTTTATAGCGAACTTGGAACATGATACAAAAAGGCAACCGTGTTGAAATATTTTTAATTAAGATTATATTTTCGCTTACTTCGACCAGTTTGTAGGTTTCGAATTCCTGCAGTTGCCGCTGGAAGCCGAGGTTAGGGTTGGCGACGGCGCGGCCTGCACGCACCACTTTCAACGCTTCACGCCAATTCAATGGCGTCACCGACATTATATACGCCACCGCCACTGTCACGCTGCGCGACATACCTGCGAGACTGAATAGGAGTACCTAATTTTAAGGGGAATCAGTCAATCTATACTAATCTATAATATACGAAGGGGTAGGATTTAATTGTTTGCTAGTGGCAAAGACTATAATTAACGCGGGCGAAGGCGAATAAGGAAAACAAGTAGGAAGTAATCAATTAAAATCAAGCGTCTCAGGTCGTCAAGATGGGATTCGAAGGCCTAACCATACACATTCTTTACTGTGGAAAAAATATTTCATTTACTATAAAGTATTATTTCATAATTCATGATCTCAATGAGTGATTAGCGCTAATAATATTACCTACATTACCTTTGTTTTTTTTTCGATCTTGAGCTACTCCGTGCTTCGCGGATAGCACGTTAAGCTGTCATGTCTAATACTTCTTAACCATCCATAACGAAGGCCTGAGAACCTACAGTGGAGACGTAAAAGGGCTGATGATGAAAACATATACTGTAATATTAGTTACCAGTGAATGAGAACATTGCCATCTCTGAGGCGGGCAGCGTGGATGAAGTCGTTGCACAAGCTGAAGTATTGAGTGAGGTTTTGGTCAGGCGAATCCGATGCCATAATGCACAGGTAATGTTTATCCTGAGGACAAAACGATTAATACTATTATTAATATGATCAATAGTTTAACAAATAGTTTTTATTATTATTTAAGGTACTATTTTTAGCGTATTGTATTCAATTCAGAGGCCTGATGTTCTAATTTTAAAGTCTAAATAATCTTGATTCCAATAGGCTTCATAAAAGAAGATTTGGACCGTCCTCCATTTTTTTCCCTACCACTCATTCAGGACATCTTTTGGCTGATAAGAAGAACGAGCAAGAAACTCACCAGCTCTAATGGGAGTAAAGACATTCACAAAATTATGTGATTACCAGATCAATTCATTATAAATAGAGAAAAAAAATCTACAATAATGGCAACAAAATAATTTTGAGATATAGTCAATTTAGAAGAAATGACCTATCTAGTTGCTGGAGCATCTTAAGTCCAAGTATTCTTTTCTGTTATATAATAAGATACCTTATCATAAGCTTTTTTAATAAGTATTTCGTAAATAGTCAAATCAAATCAAATCAAAATTATTTATACAAAAACGATTTACATTAAAAACGGTACATAATTTCAATTATCTCTATAAAAATCACTCTGCCTTTGAAAGGGATTGCGATGGCTTTTGAAATTGAATTGACCAACAGTTTTCTTACTTTCATGATGTAAAAATTTGTTTTTTCTTTCTTGTTGTGTTGCCTTTAATCAAGATTTGCGTTTGATACGTACGCATTTTTGCCACGAGCTCTTGTACATATTATATTTCAAGATTTGCAAACCGAGATGAAAGCTTTCATGTTATTTGTAGTGAAATAAAATGCCGTAAGAAAACAGAAACATAAAATTGTCCGGTATGTCGTCGGTCCACGTCACTATGTTTTTTTCTTATAACTATTCTTCTTACATTTATCGTTATCACCATCAGCCTATTGATGTCCCCAGCGGCTAATGTCATCCCCATGGATGGAATCGAATCAAATTGAATGGGGAGAATGAGCCACGTCCCAGGTCCAATGAGGATTAGTTGGTATTAACGACTGCAAATGGAGTCGGGACCAACAGCTTAACGGGCCTTCTGAAATTTTTGGCCACCTATCCTATGACCAGCCCTTGCGAAAGTTGCATAACAACCGTATCGGAGACCGAGCGCCGTAACCACGGCACAATCGAGCTCTTAAATAATCATCAAAAAACATGTTACGAAAATGTTAGAGAACTATAAAAATAAACCGATATTTAGTGTCCAATCCTAAAGATATTAAATCTACATACATATATACGAGAATGCACTAAAGCAGTTTATTTGAAAAGTTTATTCTACATCTGTCTCTTCCCTTGGGAGAACGGCGAACGCTTATTCGGTTCTCATAAGTACACTTTATTGCATTTTAATAGCTTTTAGCAACTTTTAGAGTATATCTTTTATTCAATGTCACGATGTAGGGTAAAAAATCTATCAAACAACAAAATTATTTACTACAAATAACAATTAAAAACGACAAATATATCTATAAAAGTACATTCCAACCAAATATTCTAATGTAATATTAAATTCAACCATTCTGTTCTGAAGAATATAACTTAGTTATTTAGACCTATTTCTAATATAAAATAAACCTAACATAAGAAGTTTTTATCTTTTAGTTCTATACCGTGTAGTGTAGCCAAGAAAATATAAATACCAATACGAACCGTACTAATATAAATAGTGAAAAAGATGCCGAATACCGAATACCAAATAAATATTCGGCTCATCTCTAATTATAATAATATTGATTATTAAACAACTATATTCTTAAATAAAAAAATTGTTAAAATTCAATATTTATTTACATTATTTTAAAAATATTACCCTTGCATTCGTTTTCTAAGCTGTGGACGGAAAACGGTCAATGCAAAATGGATAAAACGGCTAATTCCGTATTTGTCTATTTAATAAAAAACACATGATGTTTCGAACAAAACTGAATGTTAACTTTAAAAAAGACTATTTAATTTTTAATTGAAATTAGCACTGAGATAATTTTGTATTCATCGTCTAACTTGCCAATTCTGGATCAACTAAATGGACACCAACAGACGAAATGACTCTAACGTAATATAATGTTATATCAAATATTGCTTGTCATGTTTATAACTTAGGAGGCTGAGACAAAAGAAATTCTCGCATTGTTATTTAGAAAAGCGTCTCGCAGAGCTGAGCAGATTCAACGTGAAACTTGCAGATAAATGACGCAGATTATATCTCAATGGAGTCAAATAAATAAAATAGATGTTGTTTTAATACCGCTATCGTTTTCGTATTACGAGCAAAGGAAACATTTCAAACTGCCATATACAAATAAATATTATTGTGCTTGTATATGTAGTAACAAAGTACTCGTATTTTAATCACCTAAACTCAAACTCAAACTCATTTATTGCTTTCATGTGGTGAAACAGATGTTGTTTTTTTTTTATGTACCTTGACATGAACCCTGATAAGGGCACTGCAACAATAGTAACATTAAACTATAATTATCATAAAATCAAATTAAATATAATATAAAGTATGTATCATGCATAACAATAAAATAATAACAAAATTAAAAAGTTTTTTTGCATCCAAATTGTCATTACTAATATACTGTTATATAATTAAATTTAAAACTAATATAAGCCGAAACTTAACAATTATAATTTTGTGCGATCATTATGTTAGCAAAGATTAATATTGGGAACCAGATACTAATTTGAAAATATATCTACTATGCTTTTCAATGCTTATCTTTGTTATACTCGTAGTTACCATATTTATTTATACGATTTCGCTTAGTAATTTTTTTACGTAGTCCCAACAGCATTTTAGGACTTCTTAGATCAGTAACTTTGGCACAGAAAACTATTGAGAGCGAATCGAACTTATATCGAACATAATTCTTAACGCTGGTCGAGTGACACCCCGTTCACAAAGCCTTGTCCTGGGTACTTTTTTTGTAGTATACCTACTACAAAAGTTTAAACGAATACTTAGTGCACACATACTATACGGCCGGTTTCTGAATTGGAAAAAAGTATAAAATCTCAACTAATTATTCTCAATTACTATCAACGGCTTAACCACGTTAAGCCGCGGTTGGTCACGGATGCATCTGCAATCGTTATTTCATAATTCTCCCTATTCTATTCCATCCATAGGGAAAGCCTAAGCCCCAGAGTGGGGATATTAATAGTCTGGCAATATTCATAAGTAGCTAAGCCACTTGTATTAAGGAAATCTGAAACACCGAAGGTACCACAATATAAATAGACATTTTCTATATTGACCCGTCAGGGAATTCAGCTCGGGACCTCAAAGCGTTAACTTGAATCGGAGCGTACGTGCCGCTCAGTGACAGCGTTCATCACTACTTTCTAAGTACATTACGTACTTTAACTAATTAGGTATTCGTTAAAATGGGTAGAACGATACCGTGTGAAGGGTGCGTTCCAAAAACCTTATCACGTAAAAGTTTTTTGGTGCGCTCTAGTCTGGCTACACCAATCTTATTACGTACTATTTTCCTGTAACTTCACCCGCTTAAATAGGCTATTTTACTACTTTATTTAATAAATTAATAGTCCATTAATATCTGAGAGATAATGTAGAAGTAACAGCAAGTCTGTGATTTAATAGTTTTGGAGATACGGTGCCGTATTTGTTGAATTGCTGCTCGATGGCCGAAAATACTCCCATTAAATAAAGGTAGTGAAAATCGTATGAGCGTCAAGGCAATCTTTGATGTGATAGTGTGAAATATTTATAAGTTTGTAGTGTTGTAGTAAATATCCCTATTTTAAAATCAGTCCAGTAGTTCCGGGGCCTATTCAATGCAAACAAACAATGAAATCTATAATGAAATAATGAATACAATACAGTTTATAATTAAGTTAAATAGAAGTTTCATAGTACCTATTGTAAAAAAAACAAATATTAGTGTATAGTTTATGTGTTTCCTACGAATTGCCCTACGGGGATGGAGATTATTGCGAAGTAAGATACCATCGGCGGTGTCGCGTAACAACGACGATTAAGTGATCTATCAACTTTACGACAGCGTTTTACTATCACTACAACAAATTGGAACGCCAGATTTAAAACAAGTGCTTTCCATAGTGCAGTGATCAAGCTTGGTGTGCTTAAACTTGGTTTTATAGATGACTAGCTTATGCCCGCGACTTCGTCCGCGTGGTAAAGTTACTCTGAGCAGCATCTCTAACCAATACTTATTCAATATATCTTGTAAAAAACCTGAAATACAGTTTCATCCCCTATTTTATATAGTCAAAGTATACCAAATAAAATAAAGTACTAATTAAATATAACTAAATGCAGCGTTCTTTCTTTAGCGCCTTTATAGACTTGATATATCTATTTTCAGCAGTTTTTTTAGCAATGCATTCCATTTCT